AAACACTCTACATACATTTTAACATGGAGCATGCTCGAACTTGTGCCTCCTCCACAATGGGCAAGGTTACAAACCAGTTGATCCACCGGACCTGTTCTGTAAAATTACTACACAACATTATATTTATTCATTTGGAATGACCCGGCGGTTTGAACGGTTGAACCGGTTAAACCGGTTAAACCGGAAACCGGAGGTCAAAACGGTTTGACCTCCGGTTCGGTTTTTAAAACTTTGCTTTGTTCACTTAGTATTTATGTCATTGTGTAAACATAAGCCGAGTCACTTAAAACATGAGCAAAAGCCTGGTCATTGTTCACTGAGTATTTGTGTGAATAGAAGCGGAGTCTTTAAAATTTGAAACATGAGCCGAGCCATTTAAAACTCACTGAGCCATTTGGGTGAACGAAAGCGTGTCAATCCTCCCCTGTTTATACGTTAAACTTAGGAACCAAGAGGAAGCTTCCCCGAGAGGAACTAGGAAGCTACCCGATAGAGGAAGACCGAAAACAAGCTCGTCAACAAATCCAAAAGGATTAACCCCTTACTTAGCCCTATAACTTATATATTTTATCATTTCTACCGAATTTATATATTTTAAAATTATTCACACCCCAACAAAAAATTTAAGATTATTAATCTCTCAGTAATATGATTTAAGAAAATACTTTCCGCCCTAATGGATTTGAGTATTTGTGTGAACAGAAGCGGAGTCATCTAAAATTTGCATTTGGGTGAACGAAAGCGCGTCAATCCTCCCCTGTTTATACGTCAAACTTAGGAACCAAGATGAAGCTTCCCCAAGAGGAACTAGGAAGTTTCCCCCGGGTGGAAGACCGAAAACAAGCCCGTCAACAAATACAAAAGGGTTTTTCACCAAAAAAAAAAAAAAAAAACAAATACAAAAGGGTTAACTCCTTACTTAGCCCTATAACTTTATATATTTTATCATTCCAACCAAACTTATATATTTTAAGATTATTCACACCCCGACAAAAAATTTAGGATTCTTAGTCCCCCAATAATATGATTTAAGAAGATACTTCCCATGCTAATGGATTTGAATATGGAACGTGCTTCTCAAATAGCCATTCATTTAGCGACATATCAATGTTCTCTCTTCTACTTAACATGCTACAATGGCAATAAGTGAAAAATTCTTATCCAATATAACATGAACCCAACTCTATCATTGTGACTGTAGTAAATCAAGTAAGAGAGAGGACACCAATATCTTATTGAGTGAAATGGGCATAACATTTGACTAACGCCCATGCCAAAAGCACGCTTCAAATATGTGAAATAAATGTGAATTTTCCCAAATTGTATCATTAAGGGGCTAATAAATTTAAATTTTTAGGTGAGAGGTTAATAACCTTAAAATTTATAAATTAAGAGGTTAAATAAAGGGTTAAATCCAATATATATAAATAGATATTCACTTATATATAAGTCTTACACATCATTTTCATACAAAATCTTAATCATTCATTTTTTTTACTTTCGATGGTTGAAATTTATTTACATTTATTAAAAATAATTATATTTTTTTATTTAAAAAATCATGATAAATCTCAATTATTAAAAGTAAATAAATAATTAATTAAGATTGTACACTTATACAGAATTTCAATTATTAGTACAATCTCAATTATTAGAATTGGAGAGATGCCCCACTTTTGCCATTAACTATATATACCCCTGCTAACTACTGCTGATCTTGTTAGCAACCCCTGCCCTTATGCCACTACCTCCAACCCTAATGAGTGTTGCTAATGTTCTTGTCACTACGCTTCCTAATAAATATATCAAAATTGTTCTTTAACATTGAAAAAACTGTACAAACTAATAATGTTAGTTTTTTACCCTCGCACTTCACACACAAACAAAACTATAAAAAATTAGTGATAAAATGTGAGAGACTAATGCTTGCTACTGCCTCTTTTCTATCTCATGTAGAGTAAATTTAGGTTGACAAAATATTTAATCAATTGATATATGAATATTAAGCACTCTTATGTTAGAGATTTGTAGTTCTTGGACTTTGAAGGGGCAATGTGGTGGATTTCTTGCAAAAGATAAAGGAAGGACTAGACATGGATTTTTACATGTCTTACTAAAATGATACAGGCTAAAGTTCGTCACTAACTTAATAACTCTTTGGACTTAGATTCATGGGTCCTTAAAAACAAAAACTCAAGTTGTTAGTAGCCATTGATCTTCACAGTTAAATACTACTTAAACTTCCATTCTAATGTGGGAATTTGAGGCATCATAATCTCCCCCACTTAGATACTTGATGTCCTCATCAAATACAATCACAATCAAAACAAGGTCTACTAGCTCATAAGCACAAAATCCATCTCAAGTGAAGTGAAGTTCACACTACTATTAGCCATGATGGTTAGCATAGGCCCATAATTGCAAGAGGTAATCTCTTTGATATATACTAGATGAAAGATTATAATGACTGAAAAAAAAACATCAATTAAGAGAAAAAGTGAGGGGCATACAAGACATTTAATTTTAGTAAGTTGTTAAAAAGTACAAAGGACTGCAGAATTTTTTTATGTTGAAGTGCCTTAGAAGACCAAAAATAAGGGAAAAAAAGATAATGAATTTTTATTAAAACTTATGAGTGGTGAGAGGATTAAACAAGAGAGAAATAAAAAGAAAAAGTGAATGATGAGAAAAATAAAAAAGAGCGATCAAATAAAAGAGAAGAAAAAGTGTAAATATGGATAATAATTTTGTATTTTTTATTTAAGAATATTAAATTTATTAGTTTTCAAATAAAGATGTTAATTTTAAATTTTTTTTATTTAAGGATTAATTAGATAATAATGGTAATGTGACAAATGGATTTTTTAATTAAAATGTTAAAAGTTGGCATCTTTAAATAGAAAAAATTGAAAATTAATATTTTTTAGTAAAAAAATTAAAAGTTGATATCATTATTTAGGAATTGACAAAATTAACACTTTTAAATAAAAAAAGTGTAAAATTGACTTCCTTATTTACACTTTTTTGAGGAGAAAATGTATAAATAAGGATATCAACTTTATAATTCGTTTTATTTAAAAATATTAATTTTGTCAGTTTCTGAATATGAATATTTATTTTTAATTTTCTTTATTTAAGAATACTAACTTTTAATTTTTTTATTTAAAGATATTAACTTTTAATTTTTTTATTTAAAAATTAATTAAATAGTAATATTGAAAAAATTGATATTTTTAAAATAAAAAATAAAAAATTAATATTTTTATTTAAAAAATAATAAAATTAATATTTTAAAATAAAAAATAAAAAATTAATATTCTTATTTGTATATTTTCTTAGTTAGAGAAATAAGAAGAAAATGTGACTTATGACACAAATAAGAAGGGGAAAGAAGTTAGGATTCTTATATTAATAGATTTTTGAGTCACATCCCAATGCCCTGATGTGAATGCAGCTTTTCTCATCCTTCAATGTCTGACGTTTTTAATTTCTTTATTTTAATTTTAGGCAAAACCATAAATTAAGCCCCTGAACCAACCCCAGAATCACAATTAAGCCCCCAGACTTTAATTGAAGCAGATAAGCTCCTGAACTCTACGATTGGTGCAATTTAGCCCTTCTTCTTACGGCCAACTTAACTGCCGTTAGGCCCTCGCTTGCGTGGCAACATTTTGCCATGTCATGCCTATGTGGCAAGTGATTTAGCATTTGGGCGGGATTTTTGGCGCCATTTAGTCCATTTGACACAAAAGTTTCCCCAAAAACAAAAGAAAGTGTCTTGTATATTCAGAAATACTTTCTGAAAAGGTGCAGACAAAGACATAGAAAGACATAAAAGGGACCACTAAGGACGACCAGACCAGACTTGGAAGAATCTTCTTCAATATCGAGTTGATCTCATCCATAAGAGGTTGGTGGACTTCATTACTCAACCATTGAATAAGTTTTAAAGCACATGGGGTGACATGGGTATTAGAGTTTATTCATCTATTAATCTAAACTTTGAGATTTAAGTATGTGATTAATGATTAATTTACTATTATGTGGGTCTAAGGGCTTTGGGTTTTGTAGGGACATGCAAAAGGGACTAATAGATGGGGAGTTTGGGGTGAAATCCATGAATTTGTAGTTATATTTAACAATATTATGGATGATTCATTTATTGTTTTAGTGTTTTTTTGTCATTTAAAAACAACAATGTCGGATGATGATGCAACATTTAAGATCTGTATCCATTATGCTGGACATGTTACAAGAGATGTTTCACGTTATGTTGGAGGTGAAACTTGTGATTTAGGAGTTAATGACATTGACAAGCTATGCTATTTTGATATCATCGATAAACTAAATGAGGTTGAGATTCAGTCAGTAAGGGCATTGTATTACAAAGTTCCTGACCTGCCTTTTGCTAGTGGTTTAATGCCTTTAAATGGTGATGTAGAGATAATTGAGGTTGCAAAAATATTAATGGAGTTAGCAATTTGCCATGTATATGTGCAGCATGACAGCTCTAACATGCAAGGAGAAATTGGAGTACAAACTTCAACAAGGCCTTTTTTTTATAAGGTAAATATTGATGCTGGTGAAGGGTCAAGTAGAACGCACCTTAGGCATGGCAAAATGGCTTTATTTCTGCATGACATGCTAGGAAGTGACGTGGATGACGATGAGCTGGTGGCTGGTATTGAGAAAATGAATCATAGATATGCTGATTTTGAGACTTTCAATTGTGCAGCAAGTAAAGCAATTGAAAAAGGCAAACAAAAAGTGATAGAGATGTCTAAAGGAAAGAAGAACTTGAATCCCTTTTCAATTCCACTGATGCAAACCAGGCTTCAAAGGGGATTGTGATAAGAGATGTTGAAGGTGAAGGCCCTAGATTTGTTGCAAATTCTAATTTGGAGAATAGTGATTCTGACTTTAGTGATAGGGACAGTGAATATGTTGATAGTAGTGATCCTGGTAGCTACTATAGTGATAGCTCGATTGAGGACTTGGACTCATTTGTGAAAGATGATGCACTGAGGACTGCAAGTAGTCACCTTCATTATGATCCCAACTGTGAAGTTCCACACTTTGAAGTTGGAATGGTTTTTAAAAATGCAATTCAATTTAAAGAAGCCATTGCCAAATACTCTGTTAAAAAAGGATGCAATCTCCATTGGAAGAAGAATGAACCGGGAAGACAACGGTATGCTTGTGATGTTAAGAATGGGTGTCCTTGGGAAATCTATGCTGGCTTTGATAGTGCTGACAATTGTTTCAAGATTAAAACATATTATAGAAAGCATGCATGCTTCAAAACTAATAAGAATAGATTAGTGACACGACCATTCTTAGCAAATGCATTAAGGACATTAGTGACCAATGCTCCACACTTAACTGGTAGACAGCTTGCTAAGCATGTGAAGTCTGAAATGGAAGTTGATGTTTCTATATACAAGTGTCAAAGAGCTAAGAAAATTATTAAAGATGAGCTACATGGGAGTTACATTGAACAGTATAAGCTATTGAGAGGTTATGGTGAGCATATGCTATCTACAAATCCCAAGTCTACATGTGTTATTGGTACACAAAACTGTCCAGATGTTATGTATCAATTCAAGAGAATATACATGTGTTTTGATGGCTGTAAAAGGGGTTGGAAAGCTAGGTGCAGACCAATTATTGGGGTGGATGGTTCTTTTTTAAAAGGTCCCTGTAAAGGTATATTATTTTCTGCCATAGGGAGAGATGGGAATAATCAAATGTTCCCATTAGCTTGGGCTGTGGTCGACACCGAAAACAAAGACAATTGGCAATGGTTCATGAAGTTATTGAATATTGACATCGAATTTGGTGAAGGAATGGGTTTAACAATAATATCAGACATATACCATGTATTAACTATTAATTTGTACTTAATGATACATATTTTATTCCATTAACTAGTTAATTATGTCTTGACTTATTTTAACCTGCTTTTAGGGAATAATATCAGCAAGGGAAGCTATTTTTCCATATGCAAAGCACAAATACTGTGCAAGGCATGTATACGCAAACTGGGCAAAGATTTGGAGAGGGGAGGAATTTAAAATAAGATTCTGGGCTATTGCTCAAGCTAGCTGGCCAAAGGAGTACGAGCACCAAATGATGCTGTTGAAGAAGCTATCTGAGGCTACTTGGACAGATTTGCAGAGATATGATCCAAAAAAATGGTGCAGGGCATTTTTTGATGAAGAGCCTTATTGTGATATGGTTGACAACAACATGTGTGAGTCTTTCAATTTTTGGGTTATGGAAGCAAGGTACTTGGCTATTATCTCCATGGTTGATACTTTAAGGTCTCAAGTGATGGAGAGAATTGGTGAAAAATATGCATTCATTCCCAAATGGAAAGGTGATATTGCACCAAGAGCTAGAAAGAAGTTAGAGGCCAACAAGAAAAAGTCATCTTCATGGAAATTGGTTTGGGATGGAAGAACTGGATTTGAGGTGAAGCATGTATAGCTGGAAAATAGTAACAAACATGTGGTTGACTTGATGAAGAGAACCTGCAGTTGTAGAACTTGGCAAATGAATGGCATACCTTGTCCACATGCTGTATGTTGTATGTACCATGAAAATTTGGTACATGAAGACTTTGTTGCTGATTGGTACAAGAAAGAGAAGTATGCCCTAGCTTATGGCTTCCCTATAAAGGGAATGTGTGAGGATAAGTCATGGCAAAAATTTCATGGTGAGCCTTTGAATCCACCCCCGATTAGAAAAAGGCCTGAAAGGCCAAAGAAAAATAGGAGAAAGCCCAAAGATGAGCCCAAAAAAGTGTCTAAGGCAGTTATACTCTCAAGGAAAGGAAGAGTCATGACTTGCTCTAATTGTAAGCAAGGAGGACATAACAAATCATCTTGTCCCTTCAAATTGAATGATCAAGTAAGTCAACAACTGTTATTTGTTTATTAAACTTTTTCTTTAATAATGCTATGTGAAATGCACTAAATTAAATGTCAATGCATTGTAGATGCCTCCAGCTATTGCATCAACAAATGGGTCAAAAAGAAGGCCATCTGCAACTTATCATCGAAAACCTAAAGCTGTTAGTTGCAAGTGTTATGTTTATTTACATTACTAATTTCATTTATAATACTAGTTTTAATTAATAATCTGTTTTAAATATGTCTACAGGTTAAGACTAATGTGAATGTCAATCCTTCACAAGCATCAAATGCCCCATCTTGCCTAACATCACTAGCTGAAAACACTGTATCGCCTTTTTTTCATTTGTTCTAGTTTTATGTTTTATAATTTATTGTCATTTTAAATAGCATAGCTTATTAATTTTTAATGATGACTGCAGATTGTTTCACGTGAGCAACCACAATCTTCATTTGCAAATAAGAAAGGAAAAGAAAAGGTTAATTATGAGAGTGGGAAAAATAAGAAGCAAAAAGAGAAAAGTTCAAAAAGTAACATACAAACTACTAAGCAAATTGGTGCAATGATTTGGCATGTGAGTATCCAATTTATTTATCATATGCTATGTTATTAAGTTTGGTATGTTAGTCATTTAATTGTGCTTACTAATATGCTTAATTATCTATAGACTGGACTGTATACAAATGTGACAGTTAGAGAAGCTGTAAATGAGCATATTGCACAAAGCAATAGTGGAGGCCCAACTGCTCCAACTGTAGTAATGGATGGTCCTTCAACCGAGAAAAGGAACATTTTTGTGATGCCCCCAACTGGAGATAACATGAGTTTGGCTACTGAAGATAATTTCTGGGCAGCAATTTGAAGCCTTTTAATTATGCTATATTGCTGAAGTTTATATCTTTTGTGTCTTTTGTGTAATGGAGAATTTATGGGCAGCCAAAATTTGTGTCTTTTGTGTAATGGAGAATTTATGGGCAGCCAAAATTTGTGTCTTTTGTGTAATGGAGAATTTATGGGCAGCCAAAATTTGTGTCTTTTATGCACTAGAGAATTCTTAGGCAGTTGAAGTTTGTGTCTAGTGTGTTGCAGAATTTTGGTGGAGCTTTTAATTATGTTTGCACTTTTGTAGTGCCACAGATTAGTTATCATAGCTTTTGTTATTTATGACAGGTTTTATTGTGGTGATGAACTATATTTGGGCATGATTTGTTTTTGTTCATGCACTTTGTACAAGTGCTATGTTAAGCTATGAAACAATGTTAAGTTTATAAGAAAGGATATAAAAGTTTAGGTAAATGTTTATTATTCAGTCACTGTTCAAGAAGATGCTTATTTAGTTTATTCTTTTCATTGTTCAAGCTTTTTGTTGCAAATGGTCATTTATATTGTTAGTTTAAGATTATAAGAAGTAAAGACTCATTTACTGCAAAAGCGTTTCTGTCATTGATAAGGAAAAATATGGATACAGATTGTACAAGAGACATGGTTACTTTACATTCACACAAACAAAATCCTACATAGCTGGCAATGTCTACATTAACTACCACCTTCTAGCTTAACAAAAGAGCAACTTAACAAAAACAGTTTAGGAATTGGTCATTTTATAGCTGACCATAAACAAATGCCATAATAACCACAACAACTAAAATAGTCAGCAACAACTTCTTAATCAACCTCCTAATTGAATTCTCAACTCCAATACAAACACCATCACCCATTGCTTTCATCCTGCACTAACTCCGTGGACATTTCATCCTTTAGCATCTCAATAGGCCTTTCAAAATCTATTTCCTTCAAATCAGCTCTCACCTTCTCAATGCTTCCTTCAACATTCATCCCCCTTAAATCAACCCGGTTGATTCTCAATGCAATTTTCAACGTGACTCGGGTTACCTCCTTGTCCTCTTGGAACCCTTTTCCGTTGAGACTTCAGCCACTCATTTTCCTCTTTTAAATGCCAAATCACATCATGTGCTCTTCCAACGATTTCTCCATCATGCCATTCAAAGAAAATGCATTCACTATTAGTCTATCATCATATAAAACATAGAGAAAGAGCTAGGTTCTATAAATAAAATTTTCAAAAATATTAGTGTATACAGTACCAGCATAAAGCTCAAAGGAAACAAAATCGCCAGTAGCGCATCCATCGAACATCCTTCCTACATCCATAGCAAGCCATAGATTGACTCATGATATAGAACAATGACTCGACCTAATCCCAGATTGTTTCGAATCCCAAATCCCCAATTTCAGGTTCCCAAAACCCCTAATTGTTCCTAGAAAGAAGCCCTAATTGTTCCTCAGAAAAAAAAAACCCAGATCGCTCCTAGAAAGACACCCTGATCATTCTGGAAAGAAACCCAAATCATTCCCCAAAAACCACCCTAATCGTTCCCTAGAAAAAAAACCCAATCGTTCCCCAAAAAAAAAACCCAGATCGTTCCTA